AGTGCCACGTCGGAGCTCGGCGGAGCCGCCCCTGTCACCGCCCTCCGGGCCGGGGTGCCCCGGGATGCCCCGGGAGCGGGTGTCCCCTCCGCTCCGCACCGGATCCGCGCTGTCTCACCCCCCTCTCGCCCAGATGAACCGGCCGGCACAGGCGGCGGCGGCCGCTCACACCTTCTTCGTGGCCAACCCCGGGCACCAGGAGATGAGGCAGAACCTGGAGTACTACCAGGCTATGGTGGGAGTCCACGAGGATGACTTCACTGACCTGGAGGCCAAACCCCACCTGGTGAGACCCTCCCCTCCCAAAGCTGCTGTCCGCTGTGGAACCCAGGACAAACACACCACAGCTGAGAGCTCATGAGATGCCATGGCGGTGGGGACGAGGTGATCCATCATGGGGAGTGGAGCACTGAGATCCCCTCGTCGTTTCTCATCCCTCCGCAGAGAGAGTTTCAGCTGGGTGTCCGGTTCTACACAGAGGAGCAGCCAGCCGCCGCCATCCTGCACCTGGAGAAGGCACTGGAGGAATATTTAGTGGCAGACACCGAGTGCCGCGCTCTCTGTGAGGGACCGTACGACTACGAGGGCTACAACTACCTGGAGTACAACGCAGACCTTTTCCAGGCCATTACAGGTGGGAGCCATGCCTCTGTATCCTGTCACAAGAGTTGAGTACAATTCTCGGCAGATTGGTCCCCCTGGGGTGGGGGTAGGGGGTCCCTGAAGAATGGAAACCCCATCCTAGCTTTCACTAGGGAAGGTGTGGCGAGTAAGTGGCAGGAGGTGTTTACCTGCACTTAGCCCTAGGGCTGATGCCCAGGAGTCCTCCACGTTCCAGAGGAATATGGGAAGACAGAAGAGAGCCCTGTGGAGGGTCACCAGGATGTGATGGGAGGCTGAGGATGGCTACTCTGTCCTGAGAGAGCACCACAACCCCACCACTGCTCAACTCAGAGGTGGACGATGCCCACGCCTGAGGGTTTTCCACTTCCAAAAAGCTTGCAACAAGCCCAGTATGAGCAGGAGGTTGGACACCCCTCAGGGTCCTGCCCCCCAGCCTGTGGGTGACCATGAGCAGTGACATGCACAGTGACATGCAGTTTTTCTCTGCCAGATCACTCCATGCAGGTGCTAAGCTGCAAGCAGGGCTGTGTCACAGAGCTGGCCTCACAGCCTGGCCAGGAGAAGCCTCTGGAGGATTTCCTGCCCTCACACTTCAACTACCTGCAGTTTGCCTACTACAACAGTAAGTAGCTCCTCACCCCGTCCTCTATAGCTGTCAGCACCAGGCACTCAATTCTGCATTGAAATCATGATCCTCAGAGTGGTTTGGGTGGGGAAAGGACTTTCAAAAATAATCTCATCAGTCCAACTGAAAATGAAGGGACATCTACCACTGGTCACTCAGATCTCCCAGAGCCCCATCCACCTCGGTCTTTAACACTCTAGGCAGTCTCTGCCAGGGCCTCACCACTTTCAAAATGCCCTCCTTATGGCCAACCTAGTGCTGCCTTTCTTCAGTTTAAGACAATTCTCCTTGTTCTCTCACTATAAACCTTGATAACAAGTTGTCTTCATCTCTCTTGTGGCTGCTCTTGGTATGGGAAGGCCATAGATCACCCAGGAGCCAACCTGACTCATTCTGTGATTGTGTGATTCTGTGATTCCACATGTAAATGGGGTAGGAAGCTTTAGTGGCTGGAAACTGCAGGTTTGCCAGTAAATGGTTGTGTCTGGCTACCTGTAAATAGGCTTTGTAATGTTTTCCAAGTGAGAAAAGTACCCAAGCTATACAAGTACCCCTGATTTCTGTTGTGATGCTTTCTGGAGACAGGAGAGCACCACAGAGTCTGAATTTTGCCTTTGTGACAGCAGTTATCCTTTCTCCAGGGGATCTGCCCTGGAACACAAGGACTGTGTCCCTCAACTCCCCTCCACACCTGTCTTTGTTCTGCCTCTGGTGTCCTTGGACGTGCCATTAACAGCTCCATTTCTCATTGCAGATGGGAATTATGAAAAAGCCATTGAATGTGCCAAAACCTATTTGCTCTTCTTCCCACATGACGAGGTGATGAACCAAAATTTGGCCTATTACACTGCTGTCCTGGGGGAACACCTGGCCAGACCCATCCAGCCTCGAGAGGTGAGCAATCAGATGGGACAAATGATTGCAGGGACACCTTGTCTTTTCACTAGGGACCTCTGCAGAAGTTGTAGGGTCTCCTCCATGCCAGCTACTGAAGGTGGACAGAAATGGGTGGATTTAAGGTCAGACAAGCTGGAAAATAGCTGAAAAACATCACTGGCAAAATGTCTTAGGCCACGTGAAGCTGGATGACTGGCACACGTGGACCCATTCCTGAGAGAGGGGGCTGTGAGGAGCAGGAGGACAATCTTTATAGGGGGATCTGAGCCCTCCTCTGTTGCAGTCTTCCACAGCTGAAGAGAAATTTCTTAAAAAGGGGAGGATTTGGCTTCAAAATTGCCAAGTCCACCAGAATGGATTCTGCAGAAGGACCACACATGTGCCTCTGCTCAACTGTCATCTCCCCAGGGTTTGTCCACAGGGAAGTTCAGACAGGATGGGGAAAGCCACCTTCCTTGCCAGCTGCCAGATGGAGCAGGAAGCCAGGCTGCGGGTCTGGACCACAGGAATGGTGTAAACCCACACCTTCCTGCCCACACTTGGGGTCTTTCAGAACCCTCCTGCTGTACCTCACCCCATCCCTCTGCCCCTTGCCACAGGAGATCCAGGTGTATCACCAGCAGAGTCTGATGGAGAAGGAGCTGCTCTTCTTCAGCTACGACGTCTTTGGCATCCCTTTTGTGGACCCGGTGGGTGGTGTGAGACCAGGGGGATGCAGTGGCCAGATGGAATGCAGATGAGGGGTCTGTGTCCTGGCCAGATCCTTGTCCAGCTCCTGATGTTGTTCTTCTGGCTTCAGGACACATGGACACCTGAAGAGGTGATACCAAAACGACTGCGAGAGAAACAGAAGTGAGTGCTGTCCCCAGCCAAGCTCACCCAAACCCTTCTTCCTCTGTGGGCTTTGGGCCAGGGGCCATGCTATAGAGCTTGGGCCAGGGGAAATTTTGATGCTGGGACTGGAAGAGGCTGCTGGAGGGCAGAACTTTACTTCCCATCCGCCCATGGGACGATGGGCACGTGTAGGTCACCCCAAGCACCTCAGAGAGAGGGATGTGTTGAGGTGGCTCTCTCCAGTCTAGGTGCCAGCTTCATTACTGGCACCTGAGACAACTTGTCCTGCCCTTGTGCTAGCGGCCCTCACTTCTGATGTGGGGACAGTGGGGTGGTGGTGCTCATGGCTGCTGCATGCCCAGGGTGGAGCGGGAGACAGCAGCACGCATCTCTGAGGAAATCGGCAACCTCATGAAGGAGATCGAGACACTGGTGGAGGAGAAGGCCAAAGAGTCTGCTGACATGAGCAAGTTCATCCGAGAAGGTGGAGAAGGCCAGGAGGGGAGGTGGGATGGGGACCTTTGTGACCCCTGCTGCCAGCTCACAGTTCCTCCACACATGGGTGGCAGCAGGAGCAGGTGGTGGGACCACAGCTTCCCCCGGCCACCCCAGAGCTGGTGACACCTATCCCCACACCCACCAATCCCATTTGTGCCACAGGTGGCCCTTTGGTGTACGAAGGAGCCAGTGTCACCATGAACTCCAAGGCCCTGAATGGCTCCCAGCGTGTCGTGGTGGATGGAGTCCTTTCTGCTGAGGAGTGCCAAGCACTGCAGAGACTCACCAACGTGAGTGCAGGGACGTGTGGAGCAGGCAGGGATGGGTGGAGGATGCTGAGGGGTCACATCCCATCAGACCAGTAACAACAATCGGGTTTTGCAGGCGGCTGCCTCGGCTGGAGATGGCTATCGGGGGAAGACCTCTCCTCACACTCCCAGTGAGACCTTCTATGGCGTGACTGTCCTCAAGGCCCTCAAGGTTGGGGTGGAGAAGCAGGCGGTGGGGACAAGGGAGGGTAGTTTCAGGCAGTTTTGCCCATGCCCAGCTGGGGCTGAGCCCCTGTGCTGTTTTTTCCTCCTCCACAGCTGGGCCAGGAGGGCAAGGTGCCCCTGCACAGTGCCTACTTGTACTACAACGTGACGGAGAAGGTGAGGCGCATGATGGAGTCCTACTTCCGTCTGGAGGTCCCACTCCACTTCTCCTACTCCCACCTAGTGTGCCGCACGGCCATCGAGGGTGAGAGTGCCCCAGAGGAGCAAGTCTCGCCCTGCCTGGACCTCCTCTAACAGCTGCAGTGGTCTGGTCTTGGATCTTTTCTCTGGAGACCTCCTTGCTGCTCCCTAACCCACTCCTTTTCCCAGGAGGGTGTAGGAAGCTTGTCCCTGAGCCCAGTTTGGGAAGATGAGCAGCAGCTCTGCTGGTTGCCTCTAACAGGGCAGATGGCTTCATGCCATACAGGATTTCAATCACTCTGAGGCATTTTTGGGATGGGTGCTAAGAGAGACTGTGCCTGGAGGGCCATAGAAATCCCATGGGACAAGTCAAGAGGGTTTTATGCCACCCAAATGGCTTTGCATGATCCACACTCCAGCAAGCAGAAGTGCTTTAGGCTACACGTGACTTTCTTGTCATCTCCAAGCACGGGATACTTGGGGATGGACCCTGTTCTTGCACAGAGGGGTCCTGACATGCCCTGTTCTACCCTAGAGAAGCAAGAAGGCCGGAGTGACAACAGCCACGAGGTGCACGTGGACAACTGCATTCTCAATGCAGAGGCACTGGTGTGTGTGAAGGAACCCCCAGCCTACACTTTCCGGGATTACAGGTACTGGTGGTGGCTGTCAGCTGCAGCTTCTCCACCTAAGGGTACCATGATTTGGTGGCACCTGGGTTGGGAGGAGCAAGGTGGGAGGACACCAAACCTGGGCTCTCCTGCCTCTGGCTCTTGCCATGGTGTTGGGGTGCTCTGCTGATGGTTGCTCGTCACCTCCACTTGTCCCCTGCTCCCTTTAGTGCAATCCTCTACCTCAACGGAGACTTTGAAGGAGGAGCTTTCTACTTCACCAAGCTGGATGCCAAGACTCAGACTGTGAGTAGCTCAGCTCCCAAGATCCATGTGCAGCACCAAATCCAGCTCCTGCCTGTTGGCCCTGTCCCCTGGGAACATCCCCTGAGCCACTGTGAAAGATGAACTTGGGTTGAGGGGATCCAGCTCAGCCCTGACTGGGCTGTTCTGGTCTCCCACCTTGACAGGCAGAGGTCCAGCCGCAGTGTGGCCGTGCTGTGGGCTTCTCCTCTGGCTCAGAGAACCCCCATGGGGTGAAGGCTGTGACCAAAGGTCAGCGCTGTGCCATTGCCCTCTGGTTCACCCTGGACCCTCGGCACAGTGAGCGGGTGAGCTCCCTCCCGGCAGCACAAAGGTTTTTTGGGTGGGACAGTGGCTGTGCTTACACCATGGGTCTGCCCACAGGAGCGTGTGCAGGCAGATGACCTGGTGAAGATGCTTTTTGGCATGGAAGAGGGGGATTTGGAGCCAGAGCTGGAGAAGGAATCACCAGCTGCCGTTGTGGTGGGGAAGGATGAGCTGTGACATCCTACAGGGATCCTACAGGATGTTTCTGCTGGGACTAGTCATGTCAGCATTGTGGCTTCAGGCTGCACAGCCACAAGGGTGACATATGGGACCCCCTCTGCCCCCAACCCAGTTGGAATGGGGCTTTGGAGAATGCTGTGTACTGCCCCTGCAGCATCCAGCATCCCCCCGCAGAGCTGGCCTGGGGTGTGTGATGGAGGCCCAGGGGTGGGTGACATGGGGACAAGTGTTAGGGGTGGGGCCCTGGTGCTGACGGGTGCAAGATGTGTGCCTTTCCTGAACTTGCAGCTATTTAAGTGCCTTCTGCAGAAAATGAGTGAATAAAGGTATTTTTTTTTCTAAGCTGTTGCTTTCTGAGTGGGGACTGAAGGCTGGTGCCACGCTCTGGCTGTTGTCAGCGTTGGGGTGCAACTTTTCCTCCTGGCAAACCTTTACCCAAGAGTGTTGTAGCCCTGTAGCCTCAGAAAGGTGTTTGGGGGGCAGAAGGTGCCCCAGGGACAGTAGAGGCAACACAATCTCCAGCTGAGCATCCTCTGGACCCTCCTCCCATAGCGTGGGAAGGAACCCACCATTCCAGGGAGGAGGGAACCGTCCTTGAACAAGAAGGACATTGAGCACCCTGGCAGGCGGGGACAGGGCACTGAATTGTTCCTGCAGATGTCTGGCCATTACCATAACCATCCTGGGAATGTGGGCAAATAAATCCTGCCCCCTGTGCAGCCACCCAGCACCCCCATCCCACTTGGAGGGGTGGGCAGGGGCAGTCTGGAGGATGATTTCTCCAGGATGAAGATAGGTTTCCAGTGGAGGCTGCCCACCATCCCAGCATCCACCCCCAGCTGCCCGAGCGCGTGAGCAGACTGCTGATGAGGCCACGGCGGTTAACGATTGCCAGGTCCTGGGGCTGCAAGGGGCTTGGTGTCACCAGGGTGGTGACACGTGTTCCCCACACCCCCTGTCCCTCTCCTGCAGGCGTACCCCGCTGACAATGGCTTCTCTTGTTGAGTGCCATGGTGGCGTGGTGTGCCTGAATTCCCTCAGTGAATGAACTGCTTCCCTGCTCCCTGTTGAATTCCTGGAGTGACCTCTGGGGGGGCTCCCAGCCCACGGCAGGGGGTCAAGGACAACTTGGGGGTCAAGGTAACTTCCCACACACCCCCGTCCCCTCCACCTGTTGGGGAGCCCCATTTTCCCACATCCCTCCACTGTCGTTTGACAGGTCTCCCACAAGCCCCGTTCTCTCCCGTTGGACCCAAATACCCTCCGTGCCCCAAATCTTTCCCTTCAGACCACATTCTTCCCTCTAGGATTCAAATCCCTTGCCTCCAATCCCAAATCACCCTCCTCAGACTCAAATCTGAGTCCCCTCCATCCCCCTAATCCCAACCTCCCAATTCCCCTTAAACTCCAGCTCACCCTTTAGCCTCAACTCTCCCACTCCACTCCACTCTTTGCCTTCACTTCAAATCCTCCTCCCTTCCCTCCTCCCGAGCCGTTTTCCCTCTGGGAGCCGCCGCTGCGGTTCTTTCCCTCCAGCATCCCGCGGGGCGATGGGCGGCGGGGCTCGGCAGCTGGCCGGGTACCTGGCGGCTGTGGCCGGCTGGCTGGCAGCGCTGGCCGCGGCCGTGCTGCCGCACTGGAGGCAGAGCTCGTATGCCGGAGACGCCATCATCACCGCCGTGGGGCTCCACGAGGGGCTGTGGATGAGCTGCGCTGCCCAGAGCACAGGGCAGGTCCAGTGCCGCCTGCACGACTCGCTGCTCTCCCTCGAAGGTGGGTACGGGGACACCGAGGGTGAGACGCGCTTCTTGTTCCCCCTCCCCATCTCTGCCTCGGGTCTGAGCTCCCCTGGGATCCTGAGCTGCCCTTGCCACGCTGTAACTCTGAGCCAGATGTGGGTTTGATGCTCCCTCGTATGGCTCTGAGCCCCTCTCTGTGTTTGAACCCACCTGTAGGGGTTTGAACACACATTGCCAACAGCTCTGTACCCTCTTCATGTCTGGATGCCTCCTTCCCCTGTGGATCTGAGCTTCCCTGGCCCTTCCTGGAGCCTCAGTCACCTTCAGGTCCAAGTCCTTCTTGCCCCCACCCCTATTGTAGGTCTGACTCCCCTCAGAAGGGTCTGAGTCCACTCATCCACTGAGCTGATGTGTGTCCAAGCTTCCCTCTCCCATCCTGGGCCCCAACCTCCCCACCCTGGGACCGAGTCTCTCTTGGTCCTGTGTGTTTGAGCCCCTTTGTGTGCCTGGGACACTCCTGGCCCTGGCAGGTTTGAGCTCCAGTGTGGGCATCACATTTAGATACCGACAGTGCCCCATGGGGACATCAAAAACATGACTGTGCATCACCCTTTTGGCATTTGGGGACTGTGGTGCTGCCCAGCCCAGCCCAGTCATGAGCAAGATGAGGGTGGCAGGGAGGAAGGTCAGGGAAGGCACTGGGAGCAATGCCCTGAGCTGAGGTCTCCATATCTGCTGGGTGGGGAGGACATGACCTGGGAACTGCACAGCAAGGACAGGGTTAATAAGGACAGGTCCATCACCAGCATGGAATGCAGTGAACTTGCTCCCTGTGGCCAAAGGCACCTGCTGGGAGCAGTTTTTCTTCCCCTCTTGCAGTTCACATCCAGACATCCCGAGCTCTCATGGTCATTTCTCTGCTCCTGGGCTTCTTTGGCATCATCGTGAGCGTGGTGGGCATGAAATGCACTAAGGTTGGGGAGGAGGATCCTGTCACCAAGAGCCGCATAGCTGTTGCTGGAGGTGTCCTCTTCGTTCTCTCTGGTAAGGCAGCTCTGGCCTTCCTACACCAAAGTGCAGGAACCCTCAAACACCTTTCAACACTGACAGGAGCAGTTTGGTGAGGGCTGGGTGTCACTGACAGCCAATGTTTGGTATCTCACTGCAGAGGGCTTTGCACTAGGTGATCTTTAAAGGTTCCTTCCAACCCCAAGCACTCAGTGATTCTGGTTCTGTGCCCAGGTCTGTGCACGCTGGCTGCCGTGTCGCTGTACGCAACGCAGGTGACCCGTGAGTTCTTCAGAGAGAGCATCGTCCCCGTCAATGCGAGGTAAGAGCCCGGCCCAGGGGCTGCCCTTCGGGATTCTGTCTGTCCCTGACATCCCACTGCACCTCCCCTCGCTGGTTTTGGTGGGGCACAGCGCTGTGGGTCGGTGTGCCCCACAGCTGGGACCTCTGCCAGCCCTCACTGCCACCTTGCAGATGTCCCTGATGCTTTCGTTGTTACCAGCTGGGACAGGGTAGTGGTGGACATGTGCAATTTCAGCCCAGGGGAGGATTAAAAGATGGGGGCACGTGGGAGCTGGATATAGCCAGCAGGAAAAGTGGGGATGGAGAGGGAAGAACCAAAATCTGCCTTGGCGTCACTGGTCACCTCATCAGGGCTTCGAGCATCCCATTGCCCATCTCAGTTTGCACCTCCGCCTCTCTCTGATGATCCCTCACCCCTTTCACCACAGGTACGAGTTTGGCTCTGCTCTCTTCGTGGGCTGGGGGGCCTCCAGCCTCTCCATGCTGGGGGGGTCCCTCCTGTGCTGCTCCTGCCCTGCCAAGGAGCGCCGAGGCCAGCAGTACCACCGGCAGTCCCAGCCCTCCACGGCCCGGGAGTACGTCTGAGCACAGCCCTGCCCTCCTGCTGCCTCCCTGCCCTCCCCAAAACCAGGCAAGACCCCGTGAGACCTTTCTCCTCCTTATCTTCCAGGTTTCAGCACCATTTTCAGTGCCAGCCTCTACAACAGAGGTTTTAAGTGTCACACCTCCCGTGTCCATCACTGCCATGCTCTCCTCAGCCGGAGTTGTGGCCAGGCCGTGTCTGTCCGTCTGTCTGTCCGTCTGTCTGTCTGTCTGTCTGTCTGTCACAGGGATGCTGGGCCCCCCAGGGGCACAGAGCCAATCCCACAGGGTGTCCTGCACAGAAGCCACCCCCTGTCCCAAACCCGTTTTGGAGGAACCCAGAGCTTGGTTTTCCTGGGATGAGGTTTTCACTTCTAACAGCACCAGCCCCACTCGGGGTTGAAGCATCCCCACACCCTGCTCTTGGCAAAGGGATGTTTTCAGGGTGCAGCATTCCCCTGCCTCATTGCTACTGAAAAGCAACACTTTTTAAATTATTATTAATTATTATTGATTCCTGCCTGGAGGCCTGTTGCTCCAGCTGAGCTCTGCCAGCCCAAACCTGCCTTGGGCTCATTCCTGTCCAGGACCAGGCTGTGCCTTGTTAAACAAGAATAAATGGGTTTGGGCAAATTAAAGCAGCAAAAAGAGGCTCTGAACACAAAGGATTTGTTTTTAGTTTTGGTGCCCAACACAACTATTTTGAGTGGCAGATGGACAGAGCCCTGAATTTTGGTGCCTCCCTGCTGGGTCCAAATCCCTCTTCCCTGCCAGGATCCCCTAGAGTGGACAGTGAAGGTTCCAAACACAACCTGCTAATTGCCTCCACCTCTTTGTACCTCTAATCTACTGCTAATAATTGTTTTGCAACTTCCAAAGCTCCAATTTCATCTGTAAATCCTCCAAACTCCCTGTACTCCATCCCTCCAGCTCTGCTGCAAGTGCTGTGCCAGCCAGCCCACAGGGAAGGACACTGGAAATTATCCAAACAGTTTCACTACCTAATTTTTTATTATTATTATTTTATTTTTAAACCCAAATATGAAGAGAGATGATTTTTAAATTTTTTTCTTGTTTTATTTTATTTTATTTTATTTTATTTTATTTTGTTTTGTTTTATTTTATTTTATTTTACTTCCTTTTACTTCATTTTATTTTATTTTACTTCATTTTATTTTATTTTACTTAATTTTATTTTCTATTTCTCTGCTTTATTTTACTCTCTTTTTCTCCATTTTATTTTCTTTTCCTGTATTTTATTTCCTTCCCCTCTATTTGATGTTATTCCCATGCCCAGATCTGAGTCCCTGGCTGTGCTGGAGGAGAAGGAATGTTATGTTTTCCCCAGGGCAGGGTGATTTCTCTCTTTCTCCCTGGCATTAACTGCCCTTTTTCTCTTTTAAATTGCAGCCCCCCTGTAAAATTGTGTCCTGCACCCCTCAGGGGAGAGCAGTGCTTGCAGGCTGGCATCACCCAGCAGGTGCTGAACCCAAATTTTGGGGTTCCCCTTGAAAAACACCAACCAAAAGCCACTGCAGGAAGGATTGAAAAGAAACCTTGTGCTTTAAAACAAACAAACAAAACAAAACAAAAAACCCAAAACCAACTAAAAAATAAAAAAGGCTTTTTTATATTTCAGTGTAAAGAATGTTTTTAATCTATTAATATAAATTCCATTAGCTTTTCCATGGGATGTGTGGCTTGGAAATGGGGTGGGTGGGGATTTTTAAATGCTTTTTTTTTTTTTTTTTTTCTTTTTGTACTAAAAATTGTGACTTGGTGGTATTAAAATATTTTCAATCATGGGCATCTTTCTGGTACTGTCTCTTTTATCTCCCCTCATTCCCCATCTGGACCAGTCCCTTCCAGTGACTCCAGTTCAGAGCCACTCCTGCAGTGGGGCAGGAGCCTCTTCCCCATCCTCAAAGGTTTTTTCCCCTCTGTCTAAATTGTGCCTTTTGCCACGTGTTTCTCTCAAAGGTGGGGATGTGGCCTTGAAAATTTCTTCATTTAAGGTTAAATCCCTGGGAATCCCTCTTGGCTCCTCCACAAGTCTCTTCCCAAGGCTGAAATGCCACCAGCACCTTCCACTTTTGGACATTCTTATGGACCCTACAAGCTGAAGTCTCCCTGTTTTCTCCCATTTCCCATGAATTCAGAGTTGATTTGTGCCTAATTGGGTATTTGCTAATTGAAGCTGATTTTTATTCCCCTGTGCAGGGATGTGAGCCCTGCTGTGCATGTTTTTCTTCAGAGATCATGTTTTCCATCCAGGTTTTTGCATGGCTGCTGTGTCATCTTAGCATCCTCGTCCTGTCCCCTGCACCTGGACCAGAAATAAATCCCATCCCACCTCAAACCCAGGGATTTGCTGTCCTTGGTGGTTGCTGTGACATCTCCAAGAGTCACCCAAAGGGGATGGACACCCAGGCTGGCACATCAAAGCAGGGGATTTGCCTTTGCAGGTTAAAACAGAGTTTCCCCCCTCCAACACACATTTTCTTTGGTCATTAAACCAGTTTAATGAGCAGAACTGAAGGTTTGGGTTGTACCTCTTGCTTTCAGCCAAACCTCTGGGAAATAATAGTCACTTTTAAATGAGGGAAAAGGGAAAATGACCCCCACACAAAGGCATGCAGAAGAGTTTTTCTCACACCTCTGAGACATGGCTGTTTGAATTTGGTGGTGAATTTTTTATTAAAAAATAATTCTTACTCACTGTCCTGACCCTACAGCATCTACTGAGTCCTCTCAAGTTCTCTGAGATGATCCCATCCAAGAAAGCACCTTCTTTTTTTTCCTTGCCAGCCACAGCAGGATTTTTAGTACAAAATTTGCTAAAGTTCAAGGTTTGGGTCTTGTCAGCGCTTTTTTAACACATGGTTTGGACAAACCTCATGGTCTGGTTTTCACTGTCATTAACCCAGGAAAGGAGCTTAATCATTTGACTACTGCTAGTTCTGCTCCTCCACCTGCCCCTTTTCACCCCCAAAAAGGTTTCAGTTGGGGATTGACAAGGCAGATTAGTTTGATATATCATAAACTGAGTGTTTAGACAAGCAGAAAATATAAATACACCTATTTTATAGGTGTTGCCAAGACCATGGAGGTACAGTATTGTATCACTTGGGGTCACACATGTCCAAGAACTATAAATTCCTGAGCCATAAAGGTTGGAAAATGAAGGTTCACAAACCCTTTTGAACATTTTTGGCCCTAATTCAGTGTTACATGCCAAAGCATTAGACCTGCCATGTGCCAGAATTCTGGGAAAACAGGAGAACTCAAAGCCCCAGGAATCTCACACATCAGGCACCTGGGAGTCTCTGCAGGGCTGAAGGATTTGCCAAGATTGGTGTTTTGCCAAAATGCCCACAGCAAAATGCTGCAGAGGATTATCTAGAGGGAAAAAAAAACCCCAAAAACCACAACAAAATCCAAACCCACCCTAAAAACCCAAGTGCCCCTCAGCTGTGACCCACAAAATGGAAATCTGAGTGTTCCCCATGGGTCTGGGAGATGAGGGTGAGCAGTGGCAGAGCCCAGGGATGCTCAGAGGATGCTGTAACAGATCCTGTGGAATCCCCAAAAAGCAGGGGATTAGAGAACAAACCTGAGGTTTTTAGGGCAGCTCCAAGTGCCAGACAGCTGAGTGCTGCTGCTCAGGGTCACAGGCACCAGCAGTGCCTGAGCCATCACTTCTGCAGTGGTTTTCACTTGTTTTCTGCTTAATGAGGAAAATAGGAAGGTCTTAATTACTATCCAAAGAGGTTCATTATCACCCTGGCATTCCAGTTCCTTTCTTTGGCCCCTCCCAAGCCTCTGAACTCTGGACCACTCCTGGACCTTAGGCCACCCCAGTGTCTTAGGCCACTCATTCTTAGGCAGGAATTGAAAGGTCTAATTAAAAAAACAGGGGTTATTTGTCCAGGACACACCTGGGGAGAGCTCCCAGCAGGTTTCCAGTGGTTTCCCCACGTGACATTTTTGGGGAGGCTCCGTTCCCAGCCTATGACTGCTCTAACTGCAGGGATGCCCATCATGTCTCAGAGCACAAAGCCCACCTTGGACAGACCTTAAATAGTCCAGAGCAAGCTCCAGCTGGTGCTGAGTACCCCTGACTCCATCAGGTAAATCAGGATCCAATCCCATCTGCGCTTAAAAGCCTTCTAGACCTACATCCCTATCCTAAACCATCAGCAACAAAGAGATTCTGTCATCATCCCACTGCATCCAGGATGAGCCTGCAGTGAAGGTAATGCTCCCCATGAACCCCTTTTATTTATCATCAAGGTTTAGGGCTGGTTTTTCCCAGCATTAAGAATTTATTTCTCTTCTTTTTTTTTTTTTTTTTTTTTT